GAGCATAGGAGAATAATAACTTAGATGACGTGCAATGAAAACTACGCCATGTATGTAGAGAAAGATAGGTCAGCGGAGAGAATATCTTGCAAAGATCAGCATCGTGAATCGTGAATATCGTAAGCATATAACGATATGTACTTTTCCTTCGACTACGGTCGAGTGAAAATGCACCTAATGATAGAACATAACGAAGGGACAGCGAACAAATGAGAAAGGACGGTCACATTGATGAACATTTATAGGGGGGAAAAAGTAGACGGAGATCGACCGTCGACCGTAAGAAATTATGGCGACCACTGAAAGAAAAGTTACTTGGATTACGCTTGGATCGAGACGGCAATTTGGGTAATCGCCCCTCCAAGCTTTGTACGGTGATGCTCATTTAAAACATCCGATCAAGATATTTCAGGAGGTATATTCTGGCCAATTTATTGTTCATTGCGAAGACAGTGGGTAATTTGTAAAGCTTACGGATTAATCGATGAATACATGACAGTATTTGATATACTATATCGGCACTATATACTAGCATAGCGGATAATTATTACGTCGTGAACAATTTTAGAGTTAAATAGTAAAATAGAAAAGTAAATCACTGTTTATGAATTTCGAGGCTACTGATCCTCGACAATTAAGTTTCGCCAATTATAAGAGACAGTTTCTTTCTTCTACCAGTTGATTCATAATAATTCGAATAAAGGTAAATATATCCTGTATTGGAGTTTACAGTATCTTCGCTTTGCACTCGAAATGTACATTATTCCATTTGAATGAGCGCATTGTTCGTACGCCAAGGAGCCTCCTCGCGATAGATTGCTCGTTGTACGCTAATGCACCGAAGTAATCGATTAGCAAGCACTTCTATGCATTTCGAGAATCATCGGATCTTGCATTTCAGGCTATCAATTAGGCGACGCATCTCGACGCTGTGTCTATCAAGTCTCAAAAATTCCGCGCTCGTTATTTATAATCGGAAACGGGTGCAACGTAATCGTCGCCCGCGAACGAGACTCGACGATTCGTCGTAATATCTGTCGAATGAAACGCGATCGTTGCTGTTGAAAGGGAAATTCACTTTCCAACGAAATAATTCAATTCGCGTTCCTCTGTTTGTTCCTGGCAAATTTAACTTCTTACGATAAAACGCGAAGAGAAGAGGGAGCAATTAAAAAGAAGTGGAATTAAAACGAAGGGTAGTAACTAAACAGCGGGTTAACTTGTGTTTTTACTTAGGCACGTAAATATTTTAATAAGATACTCACGTGGTTAGACGCCGGTGGTGGGATGTTTCAGCTATCCCAAGTTTAATATACATGGCATTATCTACATTCTCCGCTTAATTACATTCTCTTAATAGTTTGTAACAGCTCCAAGTAAACTGATACCGGGTACTTCTGAAATTAAGGAATAACTTTATTATTCGAGGGGCTCGAAATTTGGTACAATCATCTGGTCTATTCGTCGTTAATAATTTACGTTTGTTTCCTTGTTATTTAAAAGTACGTCGAATTATCTGAGAAGTAGATAAAAGGAGAGAACGCAGGACAAAGTTGCGCATCACAGAGTTCTGTACTTATACAAGCACGGTAATGAGTAGAAAAACTTGGTGGACACTGTATTTAATTGAAGTAATGAAAGTTCACCAACTGCCAGGGAAAAAATGCTTGTTAGATACTTCGTATATTTTTCATACTTTAAAACTAGCTAATTTCGCGTTGCAAAATGTCACCAACTGAATTATACCATATATATGGCCGTAAGTAGAACAATTTGAGAAGAACGTGAAATATTTGGAGAACTCTATCAATTTCCATTAAATTTTCGTTCGTCGTTCGTTTATTTAAAGGTGTAGAATTTTCTCAAATATCACAGAATCAAGATTATCTTTTGACTATTATTGTATGAAATTAAATAATCAAACGAACTGGAATAAATAGGAAGAATATCTCTTTCAATAATATTGATTACTTCGTCTCGAATTACAGTTGATTTTATTAGCAAGTTTCAATATTGTACGTGGCTTTTTTTCTCGGGGAATATAAATATTTTTCACTCTTCACGTTTCAGTCTCCGGTCATCCCCTTCCCACGGAGAACAGGACAAGTATGAGACAGGCTTGAAAAATTACCGCAGCACTGTCTACTGCAAAAGTTTCATTAAGAAACGCTTCGTAATTTATTTTCGCACCTGTGTCGTGTCCTCTCGCCTTTTACTCAAATCTTGGTTAACAGAGAATCAAATAACATCGCGACAAAGATTCCTGAGAAAGGAAAAGAAAGAAAGCAGATGATAACCTAACATTTGCAATAAAAATTCCCATTTTTTCCCCCGATTTACGATTTCCTTTCATCTGTAGAGAGATGTATGAATTGCAATAAAATACACTAAA